TCAGTGGGAAAATAAATGCTGGCACAGAGCTGGAAAGGGGGAAATTCTGCTTGCCTGAGGTGATGGTCATGGTTATCACAGGGGACCAGTGCCAATCCGCTTTATGGCAGCATTATCTGCCCTGCGGGTTTTATGCCTGTTCTAAAGCCCTATTCTTCTCACCAGCACAGAACACAGAATTATCTTTCCTTTTTTTCTTCTTCTTTCAATAATGGATTTTTCTAGACAGGTGATGCATTGCCTGCAGGGTGTTATTCGTCCGTGGTAATCCTTTGACTATAGGAGTTTCCAAAATACCGGATCTGTGCATGTGGGCTTTTGCTCAGCGGAGCAAATTCTCTCCCACAAGACCCCCTTGTATATATTTTTCCAGGGAAATCTTTTCCCATAAAATGTGAGAATAGCAATGAGGATGAGAGAACATCAGCATCTGCTCAACGCCACCCTTCAAGGCTTAGATTTCAATAAATATACAGTATTTTTATTTTGTTTTCCCATCCAGCATCAGCAGGCTTCTCATCCAAAATTCTTCAACATGCAGCAGTACTGGACTTGAGTGTATATGCAAGCAGTGATGGTGAGGGATTTGTTATTGAGGGATGCTTTTTATCAGGCCTGCAGTTGGGGCAAGTGCTTAAAACTAAGCCTCCCATATTCAGCAGCAGGGTCATTATGAAAGAAGGAGGAAAGGAAGAATGATAGCTTGCATGCTCAAACAAGATGGAGAACATTAAGATGGAGGGAGATGGGATGTGACCTTGATGTTGGTCTGAGCTGCAGAGGAGAATATTGGATGATGATGAGCTTCATTTGCACAACTTCCTTTTCCAGCACCACAAAAAAATGGGGAATAAGGGGATTAATGACAAGGAATGGGCTGGAAGAGGAAATGGTTATACAGTGTATATAGGAAAGAGCTGAGCTTCTTGCTGGAGGAATTCTATAAGCACTGCTCCTCCAGCCATCCTTTGTTCCATAATTTGCAGCAATCTTTAAACTGGAAATCATGTAGAGAGTCCCTGTTTAACAAATTTGATCTGTTAAATAATAATGGTTGTATTCTGTCATTCAAAAATTTTTTATCTATGTGAAATAACATGATTACACCCTCAAGTTGCAATCAATAAAGAGCCTATTATTGGTTTGCCTTGATATTTCATGTTTTACAGTACAGTAACTGGTTGGTGATGACCTTTTTAAATTGCATAAGTACAGTAGATATATTATTCTCAAATAAATAGGGATTGCACATCTGCTACCTTAGAATTTTTTTTTACCTTTAGTGGACTTAAGTTTACCTTAGGAGTTTTAGGGCATGTCATTTATGTTAACTGTATAATGGTAATTGCTTTATTCCAGCAAGGCTTTCTCTAGTTCCAAAGATTTCATTATGTTTACAGCTGCTATGTTCTTCCATGGACTTGATTACGTGGTATGCAGTATATTAGCTATACACTTGAACAGGTAATACACTACTGTACTGCATACTGAATAAAAAGGCTCAATTCCTTTTGCTCTCTCTCTCTCTCTCTCTCTCTCTATTCCAATGTTATATCAAACCATTATAGAATTCAAATTCATCACAAATTTGCCATATTTATTCATGGACCAAGCTGGTCACTATTTTATTTAGGAATCCCTGTTTTGAAGCAGATGATCAGCTTTGAAGCCCCTGTTTTAAAATTATGATTATGATATATATATGATTATTATGATTATTATTATCATTACATTATGTTTATTATGTTTTATGATTCCTTAAAATGGGAGGGAAAACACATTTTGAACATTTTACGCTTTTCTAAATCTAAAATTGAGAGATTTTTTTAATTCTGAGCAATGGCTTCCCAAGATTCCATCTTAGATTCAATTATTCATTAGGAGTGTGACAAGATGAAAATGGGATCTTGCTCATTAAGTAATCTTCCCATCCTGGTTTATCATTGATCTGAAAATAAACTTGTTCTCTATATAGAATGTTGCACTTATTGGAACGTTGATTCCTGGTCAAAGTCCGCTCTACTAAACTTTGCTCCACATTTATCCACCTGGATCCCATCCCTGAAGAACAAGAAAAGTTCCTTCAAAACAACACTTATTAATCTCTGCTCCACGGATCCCTATATTTTGGCTCAAATTAATGTTTAAAAATTCTCCTACAATATTAAAAAATAAAATCTACAAGGAATTGACAAGAACTCGAGCAGTCTTTTTTCAAATTATGGCAGGCTACTTATAAGAATTATTTATTTGTGCAGCCCTAAATTTGTTTATTGTTTAAGGGTGGCAACACAGAAAATCAGAGGGAAAAGTGCTTTTCGAAGTCAAAGAATAGGTTCAAGGGATTCTGTAACAACATTTATTTCAAACAAATGGTTGCAGTGCAGAAAACCAGTGCTTATCATGTCAAAAACATCGAGACTTCGAGAGTATACCGTAACTCTGCTCTCGAAAAAAGTACTGTATTACAAATCTTTTTTCATTTTTTTCAGAAGTTGTTGTGCTCTGTTTCTTGTCGAAACAGCAACTCAAGTGGTGGTTTTTTCGCTTCTATATAAATATCTATTTTTTGTTGTTGCATCTAATACATACACTTCGCGGAAGAAAAAATAAATAAATAAAGCGGGGCAATTATGCGAAAGTTGCAAGCGGTTCTTCTGGTCCTGGCCTGGGTGTCAGCTGCAGTCATGNGAAATCTTTTCCCATAAAACGTGAGAATAGCAATGAGGATGAGAGAACATCAGCATCTGCTCAACGCCACCCTTCAAGGCTTAGATTTCAATAAATATACAGTATTTTTATTTTGTTTTCCCATCCAGCATCAGCAGGCTTCTCATCCAAAATTCTTCAACATGCAGCAGTACTGGACTTGAGTGTATATGCAAGCAGTGATGGTGAGGGATTTGTTATTGAGGGATGCTTTTATATCAGGCCTGCAGTTGGGGCAAGTGCTTAAAACTAAGCCTCCCATATTCAGCAGCAGGGTCATTATGAAAGAAGGAGGAAAGGAAGAATGATAGCTTGCATGCTCAAACAAGATGGAGAACATTAAGATGGCAGGAGATGGGATGTGACCTTGATGTTGGTCTGAGCTGCAGAGGAGAATATTGGATGATGATGAGCTTCATTTGCACAACTTCCTTTTCCAGCACCACAAAAAAATGGGGAATAAGGGGATTAATGACAAGGAATGGGCTGGAAGTGGAAATGGTTATACAGTATATATAGGAAAGAGCTGAGCTTCTTGCTGGAGGAATTCTATAAGCACTGCTCCTCCAGCCATCCTTTGTTCCATAATTTGCAGCAATCTTTAAACTGGAAATCATGTAGAGAGTCCCTGTTTAACAAAGTGGATCTTTTAAATAATAATGGTTGTATTCTGTCATTCAAATATTTTTTATTCATGTGAAATAACATGATTACAGCCTCAAGTTGCAATCAATAAAGAGCCTATTATTGGTTTGCCTTGATATTTCATGTTTTACAGTACAGTAACTGGTTGGTGATGACCTTTTTAAATTGCATAAGTACAGTAGATATATTATTCTCAAATAAATAGGGATTGCACATCTGCTACCTTAGAATTTTTTTTTACCTTTAGTGGACTTAAGTTTACCTTAGGAGTTTTAGGGCATGTCATTTATGTTAACTGTATAATGGTAATTGCTTTATTCCAGCAAGGCTTTCTCTAGTTCCAAAGATTTCATTATGTTTACAGCTGCTATGTTCTTCCATGGACTTGATTACGTGGTATGCAGTATATTAGCTATACACTTGAACAGGTAATACACTACTGTACTGCATACTGAATAAAAAGGCTCAATTCCTTTTGCTCTCTCTCTCTCTCTCTCTTCCAATGTTATATCAAACCATTATAGAATTCAAATTCATCACAAATTTGCCATATTTATTCATGGACCAATCTGGTCACTATTTTATTTAGGAATCCCTGTTTTGAAGCAGATGATCAGCTTTGAAGCCCCTGTTTTAAAATTATGATTATGATATATATATGATTATTATTATTATTATTATCATTACATTATGTTTATTATGTTTTATGATTCCTTAAAATGGGAGGGAAAACACATTTTGAACATTTTACGCTTTTCTAAATCTAAAATTGAGAGATTTTTTAAATTCTGAGCAATGGCTTCCCAAGATTCCATCTTAGATTCAATTATTCATTAGGAGTGTGACAAGATGAAAATGGGATCTTGCTAATTAAGTATAGTCTTCCCATCCTGGTTCATCATTGATCTGAAAAGAAACTTTTTCTTTATAGAATGTTGCACTTATTGGAACATTGATTCCTGGTCAAAGTCCGCTCTACTAAACTTTGCTCCAGATTTATCCACCTGGATCCCATCCCTTAAGGACAAGAAAAGTTCCTTAAAAAAAACACTTACTGTATTAATCTCTGCTCCACAGATCCCTATATATATTGGCTCAAATTAATTTTAAAAAAAGTCTCCTACAATATTTCAGGTTTAAAAATAAAATCGAAAAGGAATTGACAAGAACTTGTGCAGTCTTTTTTTTAATTATGGCAGGCTACTTATAAGAATTATTTATTTGTGCAGCTCTGAATTTGTTTTACTCAAAGTCAAAGAATAGGTTCGAGGAATTTTGTCAGAGAATTTATTTCGAACAAAGGGTTGCAACACAGAAAATCAGAGGGAAAAGTGCTTTTCGAAGTCAAAGAATATGTTCAAGGGATTCAGTAACAAAATTTATTTCATACAAATGGTTGCAGCACAGAAAATCAGTTCTTATAAATATCATGTCAAAAACATCGAGAGTATACCGTAACTCTGCTCTCGAAAAAATTATTAAAAATCTGTTTTTTTCTTTTTTCCAGAAGTTTTTGTGCTCTGTTTCTTGTCGAAACAGCAACTCAAGTGGTGGTTTTTTCGCTTCTACACATATTTATTTTTTGTTGTTGCATCTAATACATACACTTCGCGGAAGAAAAAATAAATAAATAAAGCGGGGCAATTATGCGAAAGTTGCAAGCGGTTCTTCTGGTCCTGGCCTGGGTGTCAGCTGCAGTCATGGCACGCCCGCATTCGCCCGCGGTGTCGAGTTTCTTCTCCTTGGCCCGGGCTGTGGAAGCCGAGGCTGTCGACGGACTTGACGACGCCGCGGAACAAGCCGTCGGGAAACTTGTCGACAACAATGACGTGACGGACGGCAAGAGCAAGATGGAGCAGGCGCCGGTCGTGGTGAGGAGTTTGCCAGACCACGCGGACGCCTATCCGGCATCGCACCAAGCAGAGGCGTCCAATGAGCCAGCTGTGGAAATTGTGGCGCACCAGGATGACAAGGAAGATGCTCAGGTGACCGCCATCATATGCATATATAGTTATACAGTATATACATATATATATATATACAGTCAACCCCTGTCTAACAGATTTGATTTGTGCAAGGGACAAGTCTGTTAGACAAAAAGTCCTTTACACAAATTCGAAAATCCCTTACACGGGAGGTCTGTTAGGCGGGGGGCCACTGTATATATATATATATATATATAGGATTAGTGATCAATCAATGTTTGTTCCCAATCAGCAAAAAAGAAACAAATTGCATGCTCATATTTTGAAACACAATAAAACTGAGGGTCTTGTTGACAAAAGTTCGTGCAATAATTCAAAAGATGTCAAAATTTCGAATCAAAAATAGCATTTTATTAGAAATTTATCTCTGCCAGCAGAAGACAACATTTTTCAGGTCCGCTGTTCAACTGTTTGTTTTAATGTTTTGCAAAATTCACCCTAGCAGAGTTTTGCTCTCAACTCAAAAAGATGAGGCGCCCTTCCTGCAGATTTTATTTTTATTTTTTTTGCCCAGCTTTCCCCTCAGAATTCTTGAAACCAACGTGGCATTCTTTCTAAGGGTTGCCTCCAGATCTTCCAAGGCAATTTTCTGCCATTTTCATCAACAGCCGCCTCTTTGGCGGCTGTGAAGGCATTCTGAGTTAGGGCAATGCAAGTTATCCTGATAACTTGAACTGCCCTTACTCAGAAAGCTCCTCATGCTGAATTTCTTATGTTAATCCTTGTCCAGATTTCTAAACAAATACTGTAATCTAGATCCTTCAACTTGAAGGCTCATTTCCCACTTCAAACCTCCATAACACAAATTCCTTGTATTATTCTGTATATATAGGACTATACCATAGAAATTGAAGAATATATTAAAATTTTAACATGATGGTCACCAAAATAAAGTGAGGCAAATGTACCCTTGCTTTGAAGATCAGCATTCAGCTGATTAATTTACTCATCATTATTATGCCAAGAATATCATCCATCTTCCTCTCTGGAAATTTTTGCATTGTTTTTCTGTAAAAGTGGCAGTTTGTCAGCTCAAAAACACTCTATTTTGGATTTCAAAATTTCAATAAAAAATACAGATAAATTCAATTTTTGTTTCTAGGTGTGTTTCTTTCACCCCAAATTTATTTCCCAAACATTTTTCTTCATATTCATCTCTCAGTAGCTCAAATTCTTTCCTCGCTTGTACTGCAGCATTCAAAAAGGTTTGCGCCTGAGGTTTAAAAAAAGTTAAATTCAGCATTGTCTTATTTTAAATTTCTCGGACGTTATTAAAAAGCAATATTTTTTAAACTTCATACTTTTTGCCATGATCATGAAAAAGCATGAATGTGATTCAACACTAAAAATTTGAAAATGTTCATCTTTCCCACCGCGAAGGATATTTCCATCCGTGTATTACCATCGCACTTGAATTGTTCAAAAACCGTAATTTTCCACCAGACAGGTTTCAGCCCAACACAATCTAAACCTGCCGTCCCATGACGAGTTCCATTCCTTTCCGCAAATACAGATGGTCTCATTTCCTGGAAAACTCATTAAATGTCAAACTCCTCACATCCTTCTCAGGTCGTGGTCAAAAGGGAAAATGATAAAAGCGGGGAAGACGACGTCGTAGCCGTTGCTAATGACAAGCCTGCACAAGCCGCGGAAACAAGCGAGGAAATCATTCCAGAGGAAAAAAAGGTCGTCCACGAAACCGACGACGACAGCGATGGAAAGCCCATCGAACAACTGGAAAAAGATGAGGAAAACTCCGTCGAATCCGAACAAACCGACGCCAAAAACGAGGGCCAGCACGACTCGGTCGAGAAAGTCGGTGAGTTTTCTTGATGCACATTGACGAATCTCTTGGTATAACCGTCACCATATAATTGGCGAAACTTTCAAAATCCTGTTTTTAAACTTTACAACACGTTGCATTGACAAATGAAAGAATAAATTGCCTCTTCAATTTTCTGCACGTAAAATTGATCTCGCAAGCTAAACTCCGAAAAAATCATTTCACTTCGAAAAGACAAAGCTCCGCGCAAAAAATATCCACAAGATGCGTTCTCACTTCATACTGTCGGTTCAATCCTGATTTCTCTACGTTGCCTGAGTTCATATATGCTGTTTTGACCATCATGTTGGCCAGCATTTTGATACTTTACCTCGACGTCTCGCCCTGCATTTTTCACAGTTGAAAAAAAACGTTTTCCGTTTAAATACTAATGGATTTTTCATCTCTGAATTCATTCAACGAACAGCGGATGACAAGCAGGTGGTAACGCTGGAAAACGATGCGGAGAAGTCCGCAGAAATCAGCGCTGGCATCGAGGAGAAATCTTCGGAAGAGAAGCCTACACTGGATGAGCCTGCACTCCACGTCGACATCCACCCGGTCGGTCAATCCGACTTGAACCCAGAACGTCCAGAACTTCACGTCAACGCCGTCGACAAACCTGTCAATGACGATGCAACTAGTGACGACGAAAATCATCACAGCGAAGGGGAGAAGAAACCCGAGGAATCCGCGGAAAAGCATCCGAAGGACCAGCAGTCTGAAGAGCACTCAGAGGCGAATTCACCGGAACAGTCTCAAGAATCTGACGCCGACCAACCCAAACAAGACTCTCAGCCGGAATCGATTTCCGATAAATCCAAGGAAGAGAACAACGATTCCGTAGATGCCCACGACTCTCAGGAACAGGTCCAAGAGAATTCAGTCTCCGACCAGTCCCAAGATGCGGAAGAGAAGGACGATTCCAAAGAAACACACCAGCATAATATTTCGGCCGAAAGTGACGATGCCAAGCCACACCAAGATGATTCTGCTGAAGCGGAGTCGAAAGAATTGGAACACGTCGCGGATGATGCATCAAATGAAAACAACCAGAAGCACGACGAACAAGAGGAAGCACATTCCAAAGAATCCGAGGAGCCAAAAAAAGACTACGCACTGAAATCGCACTCGGAGGACTCCAAAAATGATTCAGAAGAGCCCGAGTCGAAAGAACAACATGGCGATAGCGAGCAAAATGCATCTACTGACCGAAACGAGAACACTGAATCTGAGGACACTGCTTCGACCTCCGAAAAACCAAAAGCTGACGGTGAAAAATCGCAGGAAGAGGCGGCGTCCGAGAGCAAAAGCGATGAAGCCCAGGAACCAAAGGTCGACAATCCCGCCATTCCCAGCAACGATGACGTGGACGATTCTGTCTCAGAAATTGATCCCGATGATGAGGAAGAGGAACTCGGGGAAAAAGCAGCTCCTTCGGTTGAGGAAGAAGAACGAAAGGACGAATTGATCCAAGAACCACCCTCTGTGCAGGAAATGTCCGCGGAACAGGTCGAAGTCCAAGATGAAGAGCAGGAGGCGCAGGCCAGGCTGGGTGAGCTTCCTGCTGATGATGAATCACCTGTGCCAGAGCACAAGGCTCAAGACTTGTTGCTGCCTGAAATCTCAGATGAGGAAGAGAATGACTCTGAACTTGAGCCTGTTGAATATCCTGGTGTGTATAAAATTTGACTCTCCCGTAGTCCTGTGGAATCAATTAAATCGATAAAATAACATACCCTTACGAATACCATATATCGCACTCCAACTTTATCCATGCGATCATCAACAAAAGGGCTTCCAAAGAAAATTGGGGTTTTTTATAAAAGGGAAGTTGTTGAAACTTTTCTACAAATATCTCTTTAAAATGGATCTTACTGAAGCCTGTACCTGAAAAAGTATGAAGTTTAAAAAATATTGCTTTTTAATAACGTCCGAGAAATTTAAAATAAGACAATGCTGAATTTAACTTTTTTTAAACCTCAGGCGCAAACNTTTTTTTTTTTTTTACTTCTCGCTGGGTTTTCTTATGGAATTTTGAAAAAATCACACAGTCCCTTATGAACTTCTCTCAAGTGAGAGATTTTTCTGATTTTAATTTCTCTCACGTACATGCTTTTAATTTCAATAAATGTGATCTTCCCTACAGTGCCTACACTGGAGCAACAGCAGGATTTCATCAAGCACATCTCGACCTACAACCACTTTTACGATGCTTTTCTCAGAGCAGTTCGTTCCTCCGTCCGTGCGGACAAGAAAACCCTGGCTGTGCAATTCAAGTGAGTTGAGTAATAGAGCGCGCGCTACTCAACAAAAATTCATTCCCGTCCTTCCTCTCGAATGATTCAATATTCTAATCTTTCTTTTTTTTCTCAGGTACAAATATGAGGAAGTGATGGATGAAGGGTACTTGAAGAAGGACGAGAATGATGGATCGTATGAGGAAGACGATTGGGTTGAACGATTCAAGCAGGGCGGTGGTGTCAGTGAAGAAAATTCCGCTGGTGTGTCTGGAGAGACGAAAGAAGCTGCTGAGGTAAATTTGAAGCTCGAGTTGTAAAATATGTAATATAAACGGGTATTTCTTGAGCAAATCAATGCTCATCCGGTGCTCGCCCATAATTATGTAAGCCTTTGATGACTGAAATATATTTCTTTGTTTTTACAGGTTTCAGATGAAGGCGAAGATGCGAAACCGGAAGAGAAGAAGGAAGAAGATAGCAAAACGGAAGAGGAAGAAGAAGAGAAGGACGAAGAGAAGAAGGAAAAATACGAAGAAAAGAAGGAGAAAGACGAAGAGAAGACGGAAGAGGAAGAAGACAAGAAGGAAAAGAAAGAAGAAAAGTCCACGGAGAAAAGTTTGGAAGAAAACGACGAAGTTGATTCTGCTGAAGACGCAGCAGCAGCAGTGGATCGCGGAACCGAGGAAGAAGCATCGAATGAGCCAGCAGCAGCCTCTAGCGAGCGAGAGAGCAGAGCAAATGAGAGTGATGACAAAGATGATCATGTAGATGACGCATCTGACGATAGCAACGATGAGGAGTTGTTCCGCACTGGACCAGTCCGATCTGGCAGTAGGATTCCTAGGTGACCAAAGAGTTTCATCTATTTTTATGAAAAAGAAAATTAATGTGGAAGAAGTTTGGGATCCGTGTGAACTGAATTTTTTTTTACAGTGGGTATTTCAAGGGGCTGGATTCAATCCGAAGATCCGGAAATGTGCGAATGCTGAGGTTCACTGAAGACGGTGTCGCAGTGGAAGGCGAATTTGAGACCGGGGAGATCGTGTTTCATTTGAGGACTGACGGACAGGGAGAGTCTGTCTATCAACCTATGGCCTATGTTGACAACATCAAAGGCATTGTCCAATATGTGGTGAGTAATTGTGTCGCTCATCCCACATATATACAGTATTTGGCGCAGCCCCAAATTAACAAATGTTTGCTCACCAGGAAAAAACGTTTGAGAAGTTAGCAAACCAAAATCTAGTTCAGATAAGTTTATTGAAAAAAATGCGCTGGAATGCCTCCTGTCATCGTATTATGTTCTGTTCTTTTATGTTTGGTAGAACATTACTAACTTTATCTTTTTTAGTATGCAGTGCAGTATACAGTATCTTCTGTTATGTGCTCCTTGAAGGTGAAAAAATAGGATGCATCAGAAATTCAGAATAACCAACAATACTGCACGTAATACAATAACAACCGGGTCATAAGACTGAACGAAATTTAAAACCAATATTTGTATCGTATTTTACTTCGCACAGGGTAATTTAAACTGTTGGTTCTGATTAAATTGAAGCTGAATCCAAAATTTCCTGTGACCAACCGAAAAACTTCTAGAAATGAAATTTAATTTAATGGCATGAAAATATGAAACTTCGTTTTTCAATTTATCTTCTCATATTTTACTTTCAATTACTGATCGTCCTTTTAGACAAAATAAAAGTGTGTGCTGGCGAAAAACAGATCAGATGCTCGACTGAATTATGGTTCACTGAAATCCATAAGTGTGAATATAAACCAAGTAACCAAAACTTATTGAGTCATAATTATAGGGACATGAGATGAAGATTATCCATTCCTTGATCTTTTACATCTCGGTGTTCTTGCTGATGATTTTTCATTTAAATTTGTATTTTAATTTTTATATGTTTTCTTCCTTTTTTGTCCCCAGGTGAAATTTGAAGAGCGCAAAGGTGAGGACGACTCCCGCGCCATTATCCACTCCGGCGAAGTGCTGAACTACTTCGTGAAGCGCGTGGATCCGGACGCAGTGACTGTGAACAAATATGTTCGCGAGGACTTTGTCGACGACATCAAAGAGCGTATGTCTCGCTTTGTGGAACTCGAACTGCTCCACTTCAATGACGCCTTCGTCCACCAACTTCCGTCCATCTTGTTTGAGGAAGAGTCGCGTGGAAAGAGCAGCAGATCCATTGTCTGGGATGATTAAGATTTATTTTGCTTTTCCTTTTTTGGGTCTCCTTCATCACTGAGGGGTAGGATTGATCCTTCTAATATGGCTTGACATGATGATGATTATGGATTCAATCTAAAAGATACTGATGATATCCATTAGCAGACAATTGATTAAAAATTGCATTCAAGTCTTATCAAGCTGCATGTGAAGCAATGTCAAGAAAAATCTTTTATTTTTCTAATTTATCAAAATGGTTTGCTTACTTTATAAGTTTGAACTGGTCTGCTATTCGGAAATCGGAGAGATGTGATTCACTTAAATACTGCGCTTACTTGTCAAGGAGTAAGTTGAAACCTGTTAAGTGAATCAAACTTGGTAATGATACTGTAGTACACTACTACACGTGCTCAGTTCAGGTCTTAAAAACACATCACATGAGCCAGTAGAGGAGGTACACCGCATCACAACTGATGTACTGTATTTGTTATTCAGAACGTTCCAGATGGTTGAAATATCAGTTATATAAAAATTAGCCCCAGTTGTGAAGAAGAATCATTAATTAAATGTCTGAAAGAATTTTTATGGTGGACAGCTTTGAAAAAACTTCTAGGATTAGGTGTTTTCTTGGATATTTTCTCACAGGAACATTTTGTTGACATCAATGTGCAATAAAGTTTATGCAGCAGACTAATTCCCATGGTATAAAAATTACTAACAAGATCAGTGATCTGAGGGAATTTGAGAGCAAATGTATGAAAGAAAAGATGAATCTGTATTCAATATGAGTGTTGCAACACAATTCCTGGACCTTCCTTTTGATAGATCTTGAATTATGAGTAAATTCTCTGGAAGTACACTAGCGAGGATAGTTTTATCTTAGGGAGGGTGAATTGATCCCAGTGAAGAATTTAGTTTGAAGGAACATGTGCTTGAGAATTGAGTGCTTATGTTGTTAATAGCAGGAATGTTATAAGAAGATGACAATTGGTTGGGCTCATTTGAAGGAAAAGAAGAGAATGGAATTTTTTCCTGCGTGCACAAAGATGTTGTAAATGTGAGCTGTGATGAAGTGGTGAAAAACTATTTCGTTTTGATGGTAGTTGTCTGCTAGTTCTGGATTTGAAGTCAGCAGATCATATGTGCGTGGGATCGCGGATGCTGGACTATGAGAGGACAGTGTATTGTGCAAAGAATTTGTTTGTTCCTGCGGAATTTTTGTTGATCTTCCTGTTCCATGCCGCGAATGATGTTAATGTATTCGGTTTCCGTGATGAAGAAAAACGCATTTTCAGAATTTCTGTCTCTAATTTTCGTTTCCGGGGCTGGGACATCTCTGGGGAGACTGGAGAGTGGGGGAAATCTCATTTGCACATTTTTGGCGGCGACATCTTTGAATTACGTCTAGTTTACCGTTCAAATAACCTACCGACATTGAAGCAAATCTGAACCTTGTCCGAGGTATGCTAGTCTGTTTAGATCCATCCTCCGAACAGTGCGACGGTGGATTTGGAGACGAAGATGTGATGAAGACTGTGACGTCCAAAAATAAATTTATTTGAAGTTGAATTTATGGATGATTTAAGTGAACAGTGGATGGAGTTGGTTCTATTCCATTTTGCGCGCAAGGGGATGTGTTGAGGAAACCGTCGAGAGTATGAATTGGAAGAAGTAAGTCTGTGTATCAAACTACATCTTCGCGTATTGTAACTCAAATCAATTGTCCATCTAGAATTAGTTTAGGTACTGTGACGTCGTGCGATGTCCCGGTCGTTTTCCTCCTTTCTCATTCATTTATTCTATTCTCCGGGAGATGAGTTCAATCTACATTTTTAAAGATTTCTCTGAATTTCCTGAGATGTCAGCGGGAAATGAAAATCTTTTACAAATTTTCGTTTCTGGTAAAATTCGAACCACTGAGCTCATTCTCCGACTGCTGATTGCAGTGGCATCCAGTTATTTGAACTACCTCTCGGTCAGTTACGATATCGTGTACTACTTAGCTGACGACAATTTTTATTTCTGAAGTCTAGTGTGCATTTGCGCCACTCTTTGGTCATGTTCAAATTCGCGAGTGGACCGGGATTCCGTGGTTTGAATCCCGTGATCGCGCCGCGTGATGAATATAATATCATTGCAACAGCTGGTCGCGTGACAGTAGATGGCGTTTGGTCTCCTTGACGTTAGTGCCGCATGCATAATTTTGTTCCTCTTCGCTTCGCTCAGTGTGTCAAAAAGAATCTAACCTGACCCGCGTAACCGAGGAAAAGTCCGTTTCTCCATCATTGATATGTGTAAGGTTCAATTAAAGTGCTGGTCGTTTTATTGGGATTTTGGAACAAATCTGTGTGAATTGGAAAGGCCACGCTGGTACCTCGAGAAAGTGCGTTTTCATATTTCGTTGATGCAGGTTTTTTTACTTGTTTGCAGGGATGCTGGTTCGTAACTGGAATCGTTCACTGTAATACTGAAAGCATAGGTGTGTAAATTCAAAAATCCCATTATTACTCGTGCGAAGGTGCTAAATTCGTGCGGCTATTTAGGCCAAAATGCCAGAAATAACTGAATACTGGCTCATCTCTGCCCCCGGCGATAAAACTTGTCAACAAACCTGGGAGTCGTTGAACAAGAGAACAAAGGATTCAGATCTGTCCAACAATTGGAAATTCCACATCCCTGATCTAAAGGTACACTGATTTATTGTAATTATCATTCGGTTGAAGCTGGTTCCATAAAAACTTAGCGAGTAGGTCGGAACATTGGACCAATTGGTTGGCCTCTCTGATGATCTCGGAAAGCTCGACACCTTCGCCGAAACCGTGACTCGTAAGTTGGCGAATTACCTTGGAGAAGTTCTTGAAGACCAGAAGGACAAGTTGCACGAGAATCTAGTCGCTAATGGAGGTTCGTTCATTCTTTTATGGAAATACTGTAGTTTCAACTAAATCGAAATTCATCTCTCCGCAGTCGAGTTGTCCGCATATCTCTCGCATTTCCAATGGGATTTGGCCAAGTACCCTATTAAACAGAGTCTCCGTGGAATGGCTGATATGATTTCTCGACAAATCACACAAATTGAAACTGATTTGAAATCGAAAGCTTCTGCTTACAACAGTCTGAAAGGCTCTCTTCAGGCAATGGAACGGAAGCAAACGTGAGTATTGGCTAAATTTATTTCCAGCGATGGTCAAAATATAGTGATGATGATTATTTTACAAACTTCTTAATCGTGTCATGTTTTTCAGTGGAAGCTTGCTGACCAGGAATCTCGGTGACCTCGTGAAGAAGGAAGATTTCGTCTTGGATTCAGAGTACCTGCGAACCTTGATGGTGGTTGTTGCGAAGTGGGTGATTTGATAACTGCACTATTCCCTTCGAAGTTTTCATTGTTCGTTCATTCACAGGCCTTACTTGAGTGATTGGTGGAGCAGGTACGAGAGTTTGAACGCTGTTGTTGTTCCCCGCAGCAGCAAATTGATTTTTGAAGATAATGAGAACGCTTTAGTCAGTGTAACTCTGTTTGAGAAAGCCACCGAGGAGTTCAAAGCTAAAGCGAGGGAAAATAAGTGAGACTTCCCTTCTCGCTTCTACTGTGATTTTCTGTATTCCTTTTCTTTGAAATTCATTTCAGGTTCATGGTTCGTGATTTCGTGTATGATGAAAAGGAGCTGGATGCCGGAAAGACCGAACTCACCCGTCTCGCCACCGATAAACGGAAGCAGTTTGTGAGAATCTCGAGTTTTTATTTCTTTTTTTTCTATTTATGCACATTCCGAATATTTCTTATTTCCAGGGCCCTCTTGTCCGATGGCTGAAAGTGAATTTCGGCGAAAGCTTCATTGCCTGGATCCACGTGAAGGCCCTTCGTGTCTTCGTTGAGTCTGTTTTACGGTGAGCTTTTTTTAATTTTCGGGGCGGAATTTTCCATCTACAGTATTTTTGCTTAACTTGTTTGCTCTGGCTGACTTGTTGATTTTGAATTTTTTGATTGTTTTTAATCGAAATTTGCTTCGGTTATTTATTGTGTGTGATTTTCCATTTCTGCGAAAATGTGTCCGTCTTATACTTCGAGCGGACGGGGAAGATTTTTTGACGAACTGGATTACGAAAGATGAATTTGAGTTTCGTGTCGGTCTTCCAGGTATGGGCTACCCGTAAACTTCCAAGGCATGTTGTTGCAACCCAAAAAGAAGGGCAGTGCCAAGAGACTCCGGGAAGTTTTGAATAATCATTACGCACATCTCGACCAGTCGGCCGGGGATTCTTCCGGTGGGGACGTAAGTGGATACTTCGCATAATTTCTTAATTTATTCGAGGTAATGCATGTATTGGATTTGTTTTTTTTCCCTGAGCTTTTGACCAGGCGACTCTTACAATTGCTATATTCGATTCCCGGAGAGGAAAAACAAAAACAAGCGAAGTCATTTTTGTTTGTATGAAGACGGTATTATTCAGAGTTATTTTGACTTGAGTTCATTTTACGTATCAATCATTTTACTCAAGTTGCGGCGATTCGTCGAAAAAAAAAAGTTTTCGAAGTAGGAAGAGAATTCCATGCAAGCTGTAATATTTCTCAACTACGAATGCCACAAAAATGTATTTGGTCTTAAAGTTTTCAATTTTATCGGCTTGTGAATGAAGTCTGTTGTTCCAGTTCCCTTTCAAAGAAATCATGTACAGTATTGTATTATTTTCGTATGGAATCCAAATTCCAAAATTGCGAAGTGCAGTAATTTATTAGGAGAAGCACAGATCGTTTTATAGAAAATTTCATTGAAAATACAGTATTTGTTTGAAAAGGCCCCCTTTTGGAGAAGTTTTCAAAATTAGCAGGAATGTTGCATTCAAATGCCTATCTCTGGATGATTATGAATGCTGAGAATTTTCCATTATTGGAAAATTTTCCGTTAAAATCGTATTTTTACGCCCACGTTAACTTTCAAAATTTTCGGGTTTCAGTTCTATTGGAAATGAATTTCCGACAGAATATTTTTTCCAAAAAATGTATGAACTGTCCTCCCTGTATCAGATTGGCATGGCTGGCTTTTCTTACAACTTCGTACATCTTACTAAAATTTACTCTTGGCTAAAACAAGTCGAATTTGTTGCAATTTTTCTTATGAATTGCATACACTTCACGCACGGGATCTCACGGTTTTTGGACAATTTCTGCTTTTTTCAGATGGATATGGCAGCATTGTCTGGAATGGGAAACGATGAATACTACCCTTACGTATTTTATAAGCTCAACATCGACATGGTGGAAGGGACGCATAGAAGTTAACCGCCTTTTCCTAATTCCCATCATAGAAACTTGGATCCGCGTCGGTGTTTTTGCGTAGGAACACGCGCACACATCGGGGGTCTTCATCATCATGTTATGAAAATCGTTTTCGAGGATCACAATAAGGAAAACGAAACGAGAGTATGCAATACGTTGTGTGCGACCGCATTGGTCAATTCTTTTGGGTCATGTGCAATGATGCAGTCTGTGGTTCTAGGGAAATGTTAGGCATACGTTCGAGTCCAATCGTTTCGACTAATGTTCAGATTTTGATTTGAGTGCTAATTAAGCTGCTAGATTTGTTCTTCTTGGAGTCATTTGAGTTTAAAATTTTTAATCATTCCAGAAGCCAATGCATTCCTCAGGACTTGCGGGTCACGTGATCCCCAGCTTCTGTTGTCTTTCTTTTTTTTTTATCTCGCGGGAAATTTTGACGTTAATTATAATCCCGTGGCTTTTACTCCGAGGTATTCGCGAGTGTCTGGTAGTGCGAAATTTTAGTGGTCTTCTTGAATGTTTATTCTGAAGCAGGAACAATTGGAGCGTGGTTTAGTGCGATTCTTCCTTCGTGTATAGAGCGTATGTTTTGTGCGCTCACGGATGAAGCGTCGATACGTTAAAGGACAGGAGTGATGAACTTGCTTCAGCGGCAACAACGGCGAATGCCATATTGCAAAAAAAAAAACGAAGTCCTTTTTATTTCTCTGACGAATTTTTATCGGAATCTTTTGGGATTGTTTCTTTCGAAGTGGTGACTGCGTGCCTCTCAGGATTCAGGTTCGGTTTTTTGAATTGAGTTTTAATACAAGGGGATTTTGTGTTCAAAAATAGTCTGTACAACTAATATTTTCTGATAACGGTAGACCTGTGAATTTATTGCAAGTTCCGTCACAAAAATATTCACCGTATTGAAATTTAGTATTGGCCTCCCCCTTTTTTTCCACCTGTTTTGCACGAGTTGTCCAGCAAACTTCCAACAACACTCCGCAGACAAAATTTTCTTCCCCTGCTGGTGGAAATGATCTGTTTCAATATCCGTTTTCTATCATCATTTTCATTTGGGGAAATGAAGGCCTGCGATTGTTGTAAAGGATGGATGGCACATTAAACGCCATTTTCAGCATTAAAATGTTGCACGTTGCAGTACTTCGACTTCTTAAACAAATAGCTGGTGCAGTATAATCTTTTCTTTTTTACTATTGCGTCGAAACTTTTTATGGTTAGTTTTCTTTCTTCGGTTATTGTTGGCACTGGATTTTCTGTTTTAGGTAGATGAGACTACTTTTCTAGCTCACGGAAATGACGGAACGTCGATTCGAATCTCATGCGAGAAGATTCGTTGAATTCCAGCGAACAACCTTGCATTCAATTTCATCTGAATCTTTCCTGTTGCATAATAACTTTAGAGGGTTCGAGGGAATGTTTCTTGAGTGATCTGAAGAACTCTGAAAAACCCCTACACTTAATCTTCATTAACTTCTTCTCCTCGCCCTTTCACAGCTTTTCTAAACCTCCTCCTTTTATATGGTGTAAAAAATACCCTTGTTTTCCATTTTAAATCGGAACATTCCTGATACATAATACTTGAACTGTACTGGAAAATCATACGCGATTACTGTACAAGGCTATATTCGTAGGAGAAAAACTTACCTTTTTTTTAAAGCAATGGATGTCCAAAACGCTGGACGTGTGTTTTCTTTATATGGCAATGATTCTATCGACAGTTTTCTCAATAGTTCCGTCAATTTTTTACCTTCACAATCGAGCTTTCTATCGGAAAGTCCAGATTACAGCAGTCATTCGGGATCATCCTACCAAAGAGTAGGTTCATCTGTTGTTTCCTAAAAATGTGTTACGATCGGAATGCGTACCTGTTTAGATACGATCACAGTCCTCCGTAGAAGTGAGAAATTTGAGGCGACTCGTGGCTAGTTTGAAGAGAAATGAAATCGGGATGAAGAGGAAGATCCAGTGCTTGGAAGAAGCCCTCTTGCAGCCATCAGTGGATTTTTCGGCGCATTCGGACGAAATTATGGAGAACCTCAGCGAATTGTTTCACCCGGATTTGGCCAGTATTCCTTCTTTGTTTGTTGAATTATCAAGTGAAGACCATCATCCAAATGGGCATCGACTCAGTAAGTTCAGGTAAAGAAGTGCGTGTCGTTGATTTTTATTATCGGATGATTTTTTGCACTGAATCTCTCAGGATTGCGCTTCAGACGTTGATGGATCTTCTGGAGAAACAGAAAGAAGATTACGACTGTTTGCAGACTCAAAATGCTGAGCTGCAATCCACGTTGAATGCCTCTCTAGCGAGAGAAGAGTCTTTTAGAATAGGTCACTTGGAGACCCTGGAGAAACTCAAGCAGGAAAGTCAGCAGAAGCTGGAGTTCTTGGAGTCCACTCTGGAGGAAGAGCAGTTTAGAAGGATGCGGTGTGATTATTTGCTGTTTTCTTTAAATTTCCTTTCCGTATGATGTTTTCTGTACTGTTGAGACGAGAGAGACATCGGGTATCTGTATGATCTGCATATTATTCATGAATTTCATCATGAAATAGTGTGGGAGGTAAACCGGAGCTCAAGGTCGATACAACCTATGAAAGAATCCATGTTTTGATGTATTTTCCTAATTACTAAAATATCAAGATTACTTATCTTCTGAGAGATGAAAAGCCCTTTTAAATTATCTTTCTCGAAATTTCTTGAACGGCACGTTTATTCAGAATGATTAACCTAACTCGCATTTTTTTTTTAATATATTCACGAATGTACGACAGAAATTATAATTTATATATCTTGATCAGAGCTTATCAAGCTTTTATATTTTCGCAGGTATCATAATGACGTCGAAGACATGAAGGGGAAGATCCGGGTTTTCTGTCGCATCAAGCCGTTATTTCCTCCAGAAATCACTATGAAAGATAAGCGTTTCAAAATCTCCCCACTAGGACTTCTGAAGCTCAACATAAGCGACCACGAGCAGGAGGTTAAAAGGTTGCACGCTGTGGCCATTTCATTGAGATTATTTTCGAGTTATAAATGAGGATTTTCCGTATTATCTTCACGAAGCTTCTCTTTCGACCGAGTTTTCTCTCCGCTGGATGACCAGAAGACAGTTTACGACGATGTCAGAAGCTTGGTTCAGTCTACATTAGACGGCTACAACGTCTGCATTTGGGCCTACGGGCAAACCGGCAGCGGCAAGACGCATACCATGATTGGCGATCAGATGAACCCTGGGATTGCACCCAGAGCCTTTGACCAGATCTTCACGTACATCAAGGAAAACTCGCAGAAGTGGGACCATTCCGTGTCAGCGTCCATGTTGGAGATTTATCAAGACAAGCTCATAGATTTGTTCAGGAATGAGCCGTTGCCGCGGGCGGAGATTTTGAAAGATAGCCAGGGATACATGGTTGTCCCTGGGGCTTGTGTGAAGCAGATTAGTGCTGCGGATGAGCTCAGTAAGTTATTTGAGGAAGGCATTCGGAGTCAGCATAAGGGCCGAACAAAGATGAATTCTGTGAGCTCCAGGTCGCATTTGGTGCTCAGTGTTCTGATTGAGAGCAAGTCCAAGTTGTCTGGCGCGAAACTCAAAGGAAAAGTAAGAACCATGTTTTTGAAGACCGAAGTGCTTTCTTGAAATTGCAATAAATATTCGTGGTGAATCATGGCTTTTCTTTCGACCAGCATCCGAGATATGAGAATTAAGATGGCTGTGATGGTTTTATTTGCCGTAGATTACCATGCATAAATAGTAACTTGTAGATAAAGTAGAATCTCGTTACAACCAAGCATTTGTTACTGTACCTTGAAAAAGCTTTAGTTATAATTGAAATTAAAACAGCATTGTAGGTTGTAAGGCTTAATTTGTTCAAACGAGATTCTCCTGTAAGTCATTCACTTCAGAGCAAATTATTCATGTTGGTGTAGGATTAGCTCAGATTAAAAGATTAGCCCAGTTTAATCTTGTGGCATATGTTATTGAGGCTAGATTTCTGTCTGGTTTTTAGTTGATTACGTCGTGGAAGGTTATTGCTGGTTAATTTATTGATGAGATCAGCGCGAATTAATCCAGTTTTGCTTTGTTTCGGTACTAGAGAGTACAGTAGTTTCGTTTGGTTGGGAAAATAATCTCATCTCATGTAAGTTGTCTCATCGTCTGTGATATCGGCTTAGGTTATGTGCGTGTGAAAATCGGGTGCAAGGGATTCATCTTGACGTTCGACTGATTCGGTTGTTGCTTCGTCGCATCAAAAATGTTCGAATATAATATTATGTTATACTCTAGCAAATGTACCTATCAGAAAATTCCATGTTAAAATACTCATCTCATATTAGCTCAACCTGATCGATTTGGCTGGAAGTGAGAGAGCCAGGAAAACCGGTGCAACGGGCAGCACCCTTAAAGAAGCTGCCTTCATCAACAAGAGCCTGTTTGCCCTTGGGGAAGTTATTTCTTCCCTTGCTGCAGGCTCTGCTCACATTCCGTACCGAAACAGCAAACTGACCACTTTGATGCAAGACAGTTTGGGCGGAAACTCAAAGACCCTGTTTTTCATCAACGTGTCCTCTGCTGCTTGCAATCTCGATGAAACCATCAGCTCCTTGATGTAAGTTTATTGTCCTCTTTTATCTTGCTGGACAATATTTCTTTCATAAAGATTCCCCGTTTTTAAGGTATGGCACTAGGGTGAAGATGGTGACTAATGCCCCGTCGAAAAATGAACTCCACTAGTTAGTTAAATGCGGTGGATCATAAACTGCGTCGCTCTTCGAACGAGCTACTCCGTGTTGATCGTACTCTCGTCTCTATGGATATATATTTCGGGAACATATTCCGTCGCGATTTCCCCTCTCTTCCTCCGATTTCTCAACCTTGAAAAGTTTTCTCTTACCCGCGAACAATAAATTTTTGAAATATGTTTCCCTTGAAATCCGGTATTCTCGGGTCGCTGTTGAAAAATACCGAATATGACGATTTGTACAAAGCGGCGGAGAAGGGTGACATTCCTGGCATGGCGTCTGTGCTGGAGGCGTACAAGAAGTCCGTGACTGTAAATGGCAGTCCTCCAAAATTGATCCCGCTGATTGGAGCTGCGGCAAACAACCAGGTCCGCGTGATACAGTTTTTGTTGGGCAGGAAAGCGAGGATCGGTTTGAGGAATGAGAAAGGTGACCGAGTTCGGTAAAGTTTACTCGGTATAAAGTTGCTGCAGGTTAGTTTTCTTTCGTTGTTGAGGTATGTCAGCTTTGCACGCAGCCGCGGAAAAGAACAATACGGATTCCGTGAGTGTGCTTTTGCATGCGGGCATTGATCCTTCTGCGAAGGATAAATTGGGAAGAACTGCTTTGGAAATAGCGAGGGAGAAGAAGTTCTACGACACGTGTCTCATTCTGGTGGGTTTTACATACAGAACGTCATTCACATAATGGCCAAGAAAATGCACCGAATGTCGAGCAAGACTAATTCAATAACATTATAACTGAATCCTGAAAGATGCCGAATTCGGGACTGTATAGAATCGAATTAATTGACTGTCCGATGCGGACAACTTCTAAATCTCGTTCAGTTTTCGCATATCCCGATTAAAAGTGTTATCCGAAACTCAATCGCGTTTCGTCGTTTTCTCTCAGGAAACATGGCCTTTTATCAAGAGGAGTATGGAGCAGTGAGTGGAGGTCCAACTTCGCTATTTTACGTAGTTTGGTGTAGGATTTTTTATTCCAGAATGGCCAAGCTGGAAGAAAGTGCTAAGCTGAGAGTCCGAAGGCATCCTGATGTTCGAAAGTTCTTGGCCGAGTATGAACGCAGGAAGAGTGAAATAGATCGAGAAATATTCGGGCCTATTCCTGGATCCAGTAGTAGAGGAAGCAGTAAAAGACCCATGGGCAGCACTTCCGGTCAACAATTGAATGCCAGGCGGAAAGGGTCTCGTGATCAGTTGTCCAACAAGGAGAAAGTGGCTAGGCGAAAGGTCGATTCTGGTGACGATGATTCGTCCTCTTCGAGTGCTTGAAAGGATCTTCATTATTCACTTACTCACTCAAGAGCTCATGTTGAAATTAGCAACATGTAATCGGACATAAAAGCTATAAATTAAGCGAGGGATTAATGCGGGTCCATCGTCAAATTCTCATTTGGTGTTCATCTGACTGATGCGATCAACCATGCCTTCTGGATTCACAACTTCTGAGCAAACTGGAAAGATTCCGAGATCCATACGCGCGATATTTTAATGAACGTAAAAAAAGAAATTGAACACTTCACGAAATTAGTTATTTCTAGAAATGTACCTTTATCAATACGAGGAATGAACGGCTCTTTTTCGTATTCTCAAATGTACTGTATTCTCGTGGGCTTCCATTTGTTGGAATTATTTCCTAAAACTAACTGTCGATGCCAATAAAAACCATTGAAACTATCAATTGTACTCATAAAAGCGTTACCAAGAAATATATTCGAGAAGTCTCACCAATGGTTGTGTGCCACGGAATGTTGGATGAGCAAGCCAAGTATGCCGATCGGATTTCCGAGTGAGTCACTGGTCCAAGAATTACAATGACGACCCTGGGTGGATCAGCTGACTGGAAGTTCTGGATTCGTCTGGGATTATTTTCACCGCGAAATCGCGCACTTTCGACACAAGAATGATAAACGTAATTGGCAATTACGATGAGAAGCTTTGCTAGAATTTTACAGCACCCACCTTCCTACCAGAAGAGTACGTTCGAATGATTTATCGTCCTTAGATCCCTGCGGCTCAGCTTTTTGATCAGATCCTTAAAATAAATGCGTTACCAATTTGAAGATAATTGTGACTTTTTGTAACTCACGTACTGCTGCTTTCCGGACCCATTGGAAGCCTCCCTTTAATTTCGTGGCTGCCTTCTCCACGGCGCTACTGCTTTCCGTAGTCGGACTATGACATTTTTCATAAATTTTAATTAATTTTCGATCAATTTCTCGTGTTCATCCGAAGATATCCTGGTTACAAGTAAGCCGTAACAAAATTCTAGGTGATAGAGAGATAACAAGTTCGATGATTGCAGACGAAGGATTTAATCCTATAATTTTGGGATTATGACTTAAAACAACCGTGTATATTCCTGACTGCGGTGTTAAACATTTTCTGTCACTTCATCTTCAAACGGCAAAATCTAGAAGTTCTGTACTCGGAAGCTGAATTTGGGCTTAATAAAAGTGAACTCTGAGGTTCTCGGCATTCGCAAACCTATTTTAATTCACGGTTACTTTTTAAAAATCACTCAAGAATAACTTTTCGATATCAGCGCACAAACGTCAAGGAGAAAAGACGATTTTTCATGTGAGCTGTTGGTAATTCAGACGCGTGTACATTATATCTTGCCATAATCCTGGCGGTAATCTTTCTTGGCTACAATTTTGTAAGACACATTTTTTTTTTCTTGTCAGGTAGACGATTTAGCATTGAGAAGTATCGTGAGAATAACCTGACTATTCGCTGGGAACTTTCCGTGGCGAAGGGGAAATCATTCAAATCCAGCTTATCCGTCATGAGATCCTCCAAGATGTATCTCAGTTTTGGTACCCATCTCGCAGTGTCGTAGCTTCCGAACGCTGTGGCATCAAACGTCACACCCTTCTTCGACTTTTTCTCCTCGGGTGGGTAACTCTTTGATTTATTCGTGACTGGAACACCGAAGTGTTCGAGATTGAAAATAGCAGCCCTTTTCAGTGCGGGAAGATTTCCGATGTTCAAAACCTTGTGTAGATTCTCGGGAGTGAGTGAGTTCGCGTGTGTGACTACGTACAGCGCTGCCAGTCGTGTCTTGTCCGCTTCGCTGAGTGACTTGGTGTTCACCAAGAAAGGTATCAGTCGGTCGAGTGCGTTCTTGACCTTGGTGCCGTCTGGTTCGAGGCCAGTCGCCAAGGCCTGTTCTAGTAAACAAGTGCTTTCTAGTTCCCGAGCCTTGTAAACGGTCAAGCATTGTTCGGCCAAGTTCATGTGAATGGCCAAGTGACCGAGTTCTTTGTGCAGCTGCGGCATCTCGCGGATCAATCTCCACAACTCTCTGGTGGAAGATGAGACGGCTCCGCTGGATTCCCCGTAAGCTTGCGGAGTGTCTTGTTCTCCTGTTGAGCCCCTCTTGAATTTGCGCATTTCTTTAAATCGCTTGGCATGTTCTGCCAATTCCCTGATTCATTAGGAAACTTATGTTCCGAGGTATCTGTCACGCATTTGCGAAATTAGTGGGCTTATACCTGCTTACGGCAGCGATGTGTTTGTGCCTTTCCAACATCCACAGGTCGTCATTTTCGTCCAGAATGACTTCTTTCTCCGATCCCGTTGAGGTTTTGTACCTGGAGGATGAGGTTTTTGGTAAATGCTACACTAAATTTACGTATACTTCAGCCAAATTACCCTGATTATCCAGCAGCCCTTAATCATATCGAACAGATGTCTTCAGCTATTTTTTTTATTTGTTTATTGTTAAATTCAAACAAACATGATCCGAGTTCTACGAAGATTCGTAGCAACGAAACATTCTACTTTATGTAATGTGCAAGGATTTTGAGTTTATGCGTTGTCATACTTGTAATGATCATGAATGTCAAACAGGTCCTTCGCCATGGCTTCATAGTTGAGGTCATGAATGAAGGGAGATATGCAGTCGTATCCCCTGTCCAGGATCAACACCACGGAATTTTTCCCGTAATGATACTTGCCGGGTGGTGGATCGTCGAGTCTGAGTTCCTCCATCTTCCTCTGAATGAGTTTGGCGAGCTCAGCGTTTCTAGGAAAGGCTCTGTATAGGAATGGTTTTAAATAAGATGCATGATATTGTGCAGCGCGTTTGAGGAGAGGTTCTGCCGATAGACTTGCGGTATCGGATGGTCTTCGGATAATCGTGAACAACCGCGCATACGTCTCCGACTTTGTTCGCGATGGTTTGAAGGAAGGACACTCTGTTGGTAGCCAGTTGTGCGACGTGATACGCTTCTAGTGTTCTTGGTATCTCCAGACTCGCAGCCTGAAATTCAGACCTTGTCTTATACACTCCAACTCACAAAAAAATGTGACTGAGGGACTTTTTAAGATAAGGAAACAGCATTTCTGCTTGGGGGAAAAATGACAAATTGCAGGAGGGGTAAATTAGATATATTGTGGGCCTGCAATTTTAGAATTTCATGAGTTTACAGGATGCTGAACTTGGATCAAGGCATGTGTAAATTTGCCCAATTTGTCTGTAACTTCTTTTAAAAAGCAGAGTCTACATTTGTATTGCTCTTCTCCTTCCTGGTCCCCAGAATAATTGCCCAAAGGCCTCTCAAAACTTGAGTTATTCTATGCATAGAGACTTGAAAAATAAAGGCTTAAATCATTTTTCAAATTTCTTACTGGCATACACAGTAGAAGTGTACTATGAAACATTCGTAATGGATTATTGCAGTGAAACTATTGCTCGTAGGAGGAAAAAGCTATGACAAAGTATGAATGAAATAGTGGAAAGCATTTTAAAACTAATTTTTGCACATGAAAAGAATTGCTGTAACCACGGAGATCCTATTGTATTTTATTTTCATTCAGTTATTGGTAGAACTTCTATATTAGATAATCTATAAGATGCCATGTTTCAAGACTCACTGCTTGGTCAACTGGATCGAATGAAATGTTCAGTTCCTTCAAGGTTTTCACAAATTTCCCAACATTTGCTGCTGCAAGTTTGTTCAACAATTCGTCGTCAACTTCTGCGATAAACAGGCTGTTTCAAGACGAAATTTTTTCATTAAATTTTTTTTTTTTACATGCCTGTGAGAAAGTAAATGTGACAGCAAGCGTAGAGTGGCGTTTGGTTTCTGTCCTCGTAGTCCTGAATGATCGTGTCACAATTTTTCACGGTTGGTTCCACAAGATACAACGCGTCCAATTGGCGTAGTGGTTCCCTGCGCTTTTCAAGATCTTCAACGACTGTCATCAATCAGAATTAATTTAATGAAAATGACAGGTGTTGTCTGCATACTCACTGATGATGCCGAGGCTGACCAGTTGACTCATTCTGAATAATCTCGAAACAACACCCAGGCTTGCCTTGTCAATGACCAATACATGAGGCCGGGGATTGTTGCCGTGGTCCTTCGGTTGGCCATGTGAACATACGGAGAAAACTTCACCCTGTAATTCTAAAAGAACATGTTTTTTTTTTATTTGCAGCATTTCAGATTCACAGGCATTCTATACTGTACTGACTTTCATGCAGCAAAGTCCTCAAACCGTACTGATGCTCCATTATCTGTATCTGAAAGTCATAGCAGCTACTGTACTCTGCTATTGGTAATAATCAAGTGCGATGGGAAGTTGACGCAAGATGTTTTGAGCATGAAAAGCTAATGAAGGTTAATCTATTAATTTTTGCTCCTCCAGTGAGTCAACCTTATCTTTTGAGTTGGTGAATATGAATCCTTCCTTATGTAATTACGAGGAATTTGGGATTATGCTTTTGGCGCGGTATTTTCTCGTTGAAGTGGACCTACATTTTTTTTTCTCAAATGAACTGCTGCTCAGAATCTCAGCTCGGGATGGGCAACGTTTTGGTTTAGATTTTACATGCAATTGCTTTCCATCTAGAAATCATTGAACCAACCCTAACAAATTAATCAACCATACTTTCCAATCCCCTTAGTTCAGAAGCAGGACATTGCCAGATTGAAAGTTTATCAATGATTGCATAAGATTCGATGAGATTTGGAATGACGCAGGAAAGGAACTGAAATCGAGCAAATATCGGTATAAGACTTGAAATTCATTTCTGTTGAATCAATTCCAATTGTACGAAACAGCACCCGCAAAGGAAAACGCACTTGACAGACCACTACGCAAGTTACAAAATCCTTTCAAAAATAAAATGGCACACGTGAGTACATCCTTCAGTTCCTCTGCATTTCAAGCAGGAAAAAGCATAGCTTCACCATCCGGCTCGCAAGCACAAGCAACGACGCTTCGAACCAAGAAGCAAAGGTACCATTATGCGACGCTAAATCCTCAATAATTAAAACTTAGATCAAATTAAAAATCCAGCAAGCGAAGACAACCGTTTCCTTGAAATTCAACACTAGACGCATCAATATTCCTCTCCGCCTTCCTCTCCTTCAGTTGAGTCAAGGCCGACTTCCTCGTAGTCTTTCTCCAACGCAGCCATATCTTCTCGTGCCTCCGCAAATTCACCTTCTTCCATTCCCTCACCCACGTACCAGTGCACAAATGCACGCTTTGCATACATCAGATCAAACTTGTGATCCAGTCGTGCCCAGGCTTCAGCAATGGCCGTTGTATTTGACAACATGCAGACAGCCCGAGCCACCTTAGCCAGATCTGCCCCTGGAACAACCGTCGGTGGCTGGTAATTAATCCCCACCTTGAAGCCAGTTGGACACCAATCGACGAACTGAATGCTGCGTTTGGTTTTGATAGCAGCAATTGCAGCGTTCACATCCTTCGGCACGACATCTCCTCGATACAACATGCAACAAGCCATGTACTTTCCTGAGGGCAAAGAATGCACAAAATGTATGAATTACTCCTTCCAGAGCTTAAAAATTAATTCCGAACATACCATGACGCGGATCGCACTTGACCATTTGATTAACTGGCTCAAAGCAGGCATTGGTAATCTCAGACACGCTGAGCTGCTCGTGATAAGCTTTCTCAGCTGAAATAATCGGCGAATAGGTAACTAATGGGAAGTGAATCCTCGGATAAGGCACCAGATTCGTCTGGAACTCGGTCAAGTCAACGTTCAAGGCACCATCGAAACGCAGGGAAGCCGTAATGGAAGACACGACTTGAGCAATCAATCGGTTGAGGTTACTGTAAGATGGCCTCTCAACGTCCAAATTCCGGCGACAGATGTCATAAATGGCCTCGTTATCAACCATGAAAGCGCAGTCCGAATGCTCCAAGGTTGTGTGGGTCGTCAAAATGGAATTGTATGGCTCGACCACGGCAGTTGATACCTGCAATTAAATATGAATTCTTCGTATATTCTCGAGGTATTGATCAAGCATGAGGAACAACCCCACGAAATACCAATTCAGTCTGTGGCGTTAGGCTCAGTGCGACATGGAACAAAAGCATCAAGCATGTCAACTGCTCGAAGCGGGAAATCCATGTTCCACCTCAAGCTCGTCCAAAAAATTACTGTATACTCGTAAGGAATCAAGATTGAACATGATCCATTACTTGTAAAGCTGAAATTATTTCCCTCCTTGAAATAATTTGCTTACGTTCTTAATAACGCTCAAAAACGACGAATAAGGGATATCCCATAGGTACAGTACTGTATTAGAAAATTGCTCACAACGCACAATTACCAAACAGACGGCAAATATATTCTGTTAACAATACATCACTATTATCTACTTTACTGTCTTGTCAAACATGCTTTTAAAAAATCTCATAAAATACTGTACATCAAAACTGATCAAATGTGAAGATGAAGTGTGTCCGAATTAAGATTGATGTGCAGAAACCCTTCCCTTAACGCAATCAAAATTTTAATACTGTACTGTAAATTGATCCGAATAATTTCCCCTCCGACTGATGATTGCATTACGAAATTTACAATAAAAAGCTACACAGGCAGTATTCGCTCAATCGATTCATCTTCTAAAAGGCACCCCGGCCGAAATATGCATTAACCTGTATATCGCTTTAAATTCAACAATTACGGTGTACACGTACCTGAGGTGCCGGGTAGATGGAAAATTCAAGCTTTGACTTCTTTCCGTAATCGACTGACAAACGTTCCATCAGCAGAGACGTGAAGCCAGACCCAGTGCCACCTCCAAATGAATGGAACACAAGGAAGCCCTGCAGTCCAGTGCACTGCTCCGACAGGCGACGCAAACGGTCCAACACCAGGTCCACGATTTCCTTGCCAATCGTATAATGTCCTCGAGCATAGTTGTTGGCAGCATCTTCCTTGCCCGTGATAAGTTGTTCAGGGTGGAATAGCTGACGATACGTGCCAGTCCTCACTTCGTCTAAAAATAAAAATTATTGACCGAATGAGCGAGATTCTAGAAATTCCGACCATATATGACGCACTAATTGAAGCGAATTTTCCTTTAAATTACCAGCCGACAAAAACAAATCATACTGATAAAACTGAGATTATTCAAATACATTAAGCGGGCTTAGATTGCAGGAGTCAGTCATCGAGAAAGGGCTTCTTTCGATTATTTCTACGAAGAGGTAAATTAAGGTACGATTTAGCACTCCGAAAAAAACACTTAGGTGAACTTCAACGAACATGAAATATAATCGTAGAAAATGAATAAGTATGCACAGTACTGTATTGTACAGTATACCTACCGACAACAGATGGCTCCAAATCAACGAACACAGCGCGGGGAACGTGTTTGCCAGCTCCGGTTTCGCTGAAGAATGTGTTGAAAGAATCGTCACGACTGCCATCCATCTTCTCTGAAGGCATATGCCCGTCATTCGTGATGCCATGCTCCATACAGTAGAGTTCCCAGCAGGCATTGCCTATCTGGACTCCCGCCTGACCGACGTGCACGGAAATTACCTCCCTCTGAAAATTGCCATCGAAGTGATTAGTCATCACACTCAGACTTCTCCAATCTCGTTGAAACTCACCATGATTCTTTGAGAACGATTCGGATGAAGATCCTGGAACTCGGAAAATAAAAATACACAAAAGATCTGAAATGACGAACAGAGGAAAGTGTCAAAACAATTTTTCATCACACTTGTAATCGTAAAAACGGACAATAAATGTGCTGTCAATAATTTTAATGCGGACATTCGAACCGGAAAAATGGCAATTACGTTCGGAGAAACAAGCAACAAAACCGTGTCGCAGGAGTGGACACGACACGAGTCATGCGCTAAAATTAAAAAAAGAGACCAAATTCGCAAGAACCCACAGTAGAACTCAAAACGCGTGATCAGCTACGAAATCGCGCTCAGCTCCACTGCTCAAAAGCCAGTAACCGTGTTCAGAGCAAAAACCTAGAAGGAAAAAAAACATAATGCAATGAAGAATTTCTAATAATGTGCTTCAAACTTACAGTTTAATATTCCTCGCCGCCTTCTTCGCCCTCCTCGACAGAGTCAAGCCCGACCTCCTCGTAGTCCTTCTCCAGAGCCGCCATGTCTTCGCGAGCCTCAGCAAATTCTCCTTCCTCCATACCTTCACCCACGTACCAGTGAACAAAGGCCCTCTTGGCATACATCAGGTCAAACTTATGGTCCAGACGACCCCAGGCCTCGGCAATGGCAGTCGTATTGGACAACATGCACACGGCACGGGCAACCTTGGCTTGGTCAGCACCCGGCACAACCGTGGGCGGCTGATAGTTGATGCCAACCTGAAACACCACACCCTCACATGAAAACGCAACGCCTTCCCAAATAACTTCCAGTAAACGCGGGTGTAGAAATGAACAACCTCAAGCGCACGGAGTTCAATGAACCTTCTTCTAGGAAATGGCCTAGTAACCGTTCGCCCATTCAACCGCTCAGCAAAGCCAAGAAACTAACGAAGTAACACACGCGCCGTTAAGTAAAGTTCTTCCTGATCAACCCGCTGAATGAACGTCAACGGAACGCCTCGTCATGTGGAACCGATTTCCGAAGGAATACAATCATTGCAAATCATGTGAATTTTAGAAATAAAATTATGGACCAGTACATTTTTACAGTGATTTTTTTCTGCAGTCCAGGTAAAATCGATTCAATTTACTGCGTTCGAAAAAATTTGGAGTGTTTAGCGAAGTTTTCAGGCGTTGTTTTCCCTCCGATTGCTCGAGATAAAAAAAAATATTCTCCCGACCCTTACATTGATACAAAGGAAAAAGGAGATTATTCATGAAAAAAGAAGCACACTGTCTCAGCGATAATCGGAGGATTACAGAATTCGTTTTATCAGACTGTTCTAAGCTTGATAATTTGAGGGATTAACTGATTTCAGTCAACTTGAACTCAGAATTAAAAACAGAATACAGTACCGCTTCCGACAATTCCGTAATCGTGAGTCACGACAGCAGACAAAGCAGCTGAATTTTTCTCCGTTGAGTCGATCGCTCTTGAAGGGATGCAGTACTGTACTGGACTAAAGTTCTCTTTATCGATCAGACAACGAACTGCAGCGGTTTCATCGCGAAAAGGGGGGGAATTCCCACTCAGGGATAGCGTTCATAAGAAAAAGTAGCAGACGGTATCGGACAACCCTGGGCCCCGACCGGCGGCCGGCCGGCAATAATTCGGGGGCTCAGGGAACGCGACCAGAAGCGAGGCAACGTCCTCAGCCACGTTACCCTCCTCGCAACTTCCGCCGCCGAACAGCACTCCCTTCTTTTTACCAACACACCTCTATTCCGCTGCTTCCATTTTCTACCTATCCGCCCCAAAATCAGCTCGCACGCTGGCGATGATAACCACGAACGCGCATTTACACAACACATCACAAGAAAACAAAATGAACAAAGGCGGAAAAGCGGCGTAGACAATAAAAGCTACACTTCTTATCTGCGAATGAATTCAGGAATCTGATCTCCCAACCTTTTTCTCGCTAAGTCAATAAAAAAACGAATTTTTTAACCCGAAGAGCGCTTCTGATGAGAACTCCCTGAAGTTTTATCAAATTTGATCATTTCACGTTCTCGGAATTTGCTTCGATGAAATATTTGTTGCTAGTACCTCACGCATCACGGAAGACAGATCGAAGGAAATTCTCATTTAGTACAGTACTAACTGACAAACAAAACCAGAAATGGATAATAGCCAATTAATAAGCTCACCTTAAAGCCAGTCGGACACCAGTCGACGAACTGAATGCTGCGCTTTGTCTTGATCGCAGCGATTGCAGCGTTCACATCCTTCGGGACAACATCTCCTCGGTACAGCATGCAGCAAGCCATGTACTTACCTGCAAACGAAACGATTCCTTTCGTCTCAAAAAATACGCCACGAAAATCCAAAAAAATCTGCTCTTACCATGTCGGGGATCACACTTGACCATTTGGTTGACCGGTTCAAAGCAAGCATTGGTGATTTCAGCCACACTCAACTGTTCGTGGAAGGCTTTTTCGGCAGAAATTATGGGGGCATAGGTGACCAGAGGGAAGTGGATTCTGGGGTAAGGGACCAAATTGGTCTGGAATTCGGTGAGATCTACGTTGAGTGCGCCATCGAATCGCAACGAAGCCGTGATGGACGACACGACCTGTGCAATCATTCGGTTTAGGTTTGTATACGACGGACGTTCCACATCCAAATTTCGCCGGCAAATGTCATAAATGGCCTCGTTGTCGACCATGAAGGCGCAGTCTGAGTGTTCTAATGTTGTGTGCGTCGTCAGAATTGAGTTGTATGGTTCGACGACTGCAGTGGATACCTATCAAAAATCAATATATTTCATCAAGGACCTATCAAGCGCTGTTTTCATTTACGCGTACCAAATTTTTAGAACAAAAATAAATGGACTAGGATTTCAACGCTACCTGGGGTGCGGGATAAATGGAGAATTCCAGCTTGGACTTCTTGCCATAGTCAACAGACAGACGCTCCATCAGCAACGAGGTGAAACCTGACCCGGTGCCTCCGCCAAAGGAATGGAACACAAGAAATCCTTGGAGACCCGTGCACTGGTCGGCCAATTTACGAATCTTGTCCAGGACGACATCCACGATTTCCTTGCCAATAGTGTAATGACCACGAGCGTAATTGTTCGCAGCATCTTCTTTCCCCGTGATCAGCTGCTCAGGGTGAAAAAGCTGGCGGTATGTTCCTGTTCTCACCTCGTCTGGAAGAAATTTTGCATTAGATGCAAATTCGTTAAAAATGACTCACAAAATCAACAGAATTCCTTAAAATGTAGTTCAGCATTGCCAATTCAAAAAAACTTTCTCTCATCTCGATGCAAACGGCTTTTCCGAAAAACGCTTGGCGACTCATTAATTTTGAGCATTTACTGTATTCCATCTGAGCAAGTGCANACCTGAAGACAATCGCAACCCTCGGCCTCTTTCCGGATCACATCGAGGACAGAGTCGACCAGTTCGGCTCCTTCGGTGTAGTGCCCCTTGGCCCAATTATTTCCAGCGCCCGACTGACCGAAAACAAAGTTATCTGGCCGGAAAATCTGCCCGAAAGGTCCGGATCGGACGGAGTCCATGGTGCCAGGCTCCAAGTCCACAAGGATGGCACGAGGGACGTACTTTCCACCGCTAGCTTCATTGTAATACACAGAGATACGCTCCAACTGCAGCTCAGAATCGCCGTGATACGCCCCAGTTGGGTCAATTCCGTGCTCGTCACTGATGATCTCCCAGAACTAAGCGAACACAAATAAAATCGAAACACATAATTAACTTCGGCATATTGAATAACGGATCCAAAATATTTTTAATCGTACCTTGGAGCCGATTTGGTTACCGCATTGGCCGGTCTGAATGTGCACGATTTCACGCATCTTGAAAAAATGTATCAATACAAGGTTTCACAGGATAAAAAATAAGATTGGAGGCTGAACGAGCCGCTTCAACAAAAGTCCTGAAATTGAGGAACACCAGACGTCAAACATCTCCCAACAGAGCGTACAAGCCGTTGGAGACACGAAGGAAGCACAAGAAAACTTCCGAGCAACACGCTGAAGCTCCCAACGCGAACAAACAATTAACTCAATATCCGAATTAATTTCCATTCCGAATTTATATTTATAACAGAAAATAAAGATTGATACACGAATTCGCACTGATATTTCCGCCGGAGTCCGCGACCGTTGGCCATGCAAGCCAGCGAGTCACTGATCCATTCCAACGAGTGTCGGGCGTTACATCCCCCTGCTCTGAGGCAGCGACAGCCATCAGGATCCGACAACCACGTACCGTTTGAATGAGGAAAGATGCGATACCCAATCCCCGGGCGCATGAAGCCCTTGATCACTGGGAAAACCGAGATGAGGGTGTGGCGGACTAAAATACTTTTGAAAGGCGGAATAACTTTAAAAGTTTGAAGCTCACAAAACACAAGTTGATATATTGAGCAATCATATTCCGAAAAAATGCCTTCATTTTCTTTCAATTAAAATGGAGAAAAATTCGCAGAAATGCATACTTCAGGAAAATATTAACATACAATACGGTACATTACTGCACTTTATATGCACAACAAAGAAAAAACTTAAATACTGTACTGTAATATTTCACTCATCTCTCTCATTTTTTATTAGCCATGCAGCATTTAAAATACGTGATTTAATTTAATGGCAAGCAACAAATAAGAGAGTGGATTCATTAAATTTCTCCAATTGATTGTTGATGAAAACTTTGTGTACAGGGTGCACCCATTATAGGCGAAGCACCCAGAGAAAACGCGATCAAGAGAAAAACAAAGATACAAATAAAATTTTCTAATAACATATTTCATTCAGCAAAAATAAAATTCAGCATTCCGTTATTGGTAATTTTGCTACGTAAACACTTTCCTTTGCTTATTGTGAACTGGCGTTCCTTTTAATGATGAAAAATTGTTTGTTAAAAATGTGTTTCAACGAAATTTGTCCAGTAATAAAAAACCTTATTTCGTTATTGTAGGTTTTCGAACTTAATTTTATTTCACTTGTTCTTTCTGCTCCTGGGTCGCATAAAATCCTAGATACCGCTCATCAGAAGCAGGCAAAAATTATTTGATTAACATTCCTTCCTCAACCGAACACCGATAACTTGCCCTGAAAAATGTTACTCCTTAAAAATTCCCGGCATTTATTCGGCCTCTTTTCACACGATAAACCGTTCTTCCCACGACTCTCGGTAGGTCATCTACACTTTTTGAAATCCCCACCGAGCCGAGTTCCTCGACGGCAGGGTTGTCGGAAGTCGTCGAAGACGGGCTTCGAAACCGAGGTCGAATGAGTGGGGGGAGAAATCTGCTGCGCGTGGCCAACGGAAATGAGAACGCACCGCAGGAAGATTTCGGAGCACGAAGAATCAAATTTTAAACTTTAATTCCGCAGTATATCCGGGGAATTCGATATCCTTTCGTTTCGATGAGTGCTTCAGCCGGGCATCTGAAAAAGCACTTCCAATTATTTTCAGTCAAGCAGCAGTTCCTCTTTATAGCGATTGAAAGAATTATTCGTGTACAGAATAGGAAACTATCAGACCAATAAGTTTCAGAGATCATAGTTTTCAGCTGGGTCAGTAATAATTCAGTGCACGACATATGTTTTGTCAATTTTCAAAACTTGCACCCTTGATTCAAATTATTATTTTTTCAAAAATAACGCGTTTTTCATTTCTGGGTTCATATAAGGGCACGAAAAAATGACTCAGATGGTGATGTTTTACATTTATTCCCGCATAACGTCTGCTTCAGAGTTAAATTATTCTGTACAGTACAGTACTTATTTGACCTCAGGAAGATTATTGTGTGTGTTATATTGTACGTCCACTGCTGAACGGTCACTCATCAATTTCCTTTTTTTACTGAGATACGTGCTCATTTTTACATGCAAATTTGACTACAGCGGGATACTTCTTAAAATCAATTCGCATATGGCTGCATCTTCTATTTTTCTTTATTTGCTTATTATAGGATCCATAAATTTTAAACTTAATATTTTCATAATAATCTGTGACTTGGAAAGATAGAAAAAACATAAAAAAAGGAATTTTATATGTTTTGAAAGGAAGTGAAAAACTAGAACCCCTGATGCTTCCATTTAAAGTCCAGCATCATGTTAACTCATTTAAGGAGCAATAATTTAAGGCCCAAAATATCAGCATTTATATTTTTGTGTAATTCTTATATGTTTCCCACAATAAAAATGCTTGCTTTCATAACTCAAACCTTTATATACCTTAAAACTTATATAACTAAGTTGGCTTCTCTCTTAATTACACTTCAGAAAAAGATTCACATGTTGAAATAAATTATTATAATTTTTTTTTTGGTCTGAGAAACTTTTCTTCAAGCATACCTTTCTAATATTTTGAAAACATTTGACTATATACCTGCATCATTGGATCTTAATTTTTGCAAAAAGGCAGAAACTTAAATGCCTGCCATAAACCTTTCTGCAAAAATGTCACAAAACATTGCCAGTCCAAAGAAAATTTTTGAGAAATTTGCTGGTCTGCAAAATTTTTTGGGGCAATTTGCTGGTCCATGCTGGGCTCAAAAAGGTTGGGGAACAGTGATCTAAACAAATTTGTTACCAAAGCACTGTACAGTAATAGGTACAATTTGTGTACAGTACAGGACTGCATAAATATAATGACCACTTTCATCAATGTACATATGCGTGTATTACTGTGTATATAATTTCGTGAGTGTGAGTCATTGAGGTCGCAGTTCATTCAGACTAGGCTCCAGAAAAGGTCATTGCAGCCCCCACTTTGATGCTCGCCAGCCATGTGTCTTTCCTGGCAAAAAAGGACAGATGTGTAGGAAGTGTACAGTACAGTACAGTACAGTACCAGCATTCACAGCCCCCATCACAGTCTGAGTCTCTGTCCCAAACTCCGAACAGGGCCGGATATAGACTGTCTTCTCGGCTGGGTATTCTGTCTGTTTGGCAGACACAGACATCCATCCACAGCTGGACAATGGTTCCTGTGCAACTGCATAGATGAAATTGTATGTTGAGTATACACAGGCTCGAGTTACGAGTATGTTACAACAAACTTGAAGGAACTCGGAAAAACAGCATACAGTATTGTTCTGAAATTTGTGTGGTATAGTGTTGAGAAGATTCTATTATAGTGAATATTGTGGTAAATATTTTGAAATTGAAGTTTCAATTACTGTATTCTGAAAACTTTTTATGCTGCAAAACAAGAAAGTTCATCTGACTGAGGGGAATATATTATTATGTTTTTTTTTTTCAAAATATAAAGTTGCCCAAAAATGAACTTTATAAAATAAATGCCAAACTTTTCACTTACCTTGAAAAAGGTCACGCAGATTTATAGTGCCCTCTTTAAATAAATAAACCAAAAATAATAGTGGATAAATTTGTAACATTTCAAAAATAAGCTACATAGAAGATTGGAATTTATTCCTTATCTAAACCTGAATCCAATTGCTCCTGCACTCATCTTTTTATACACATTTGGGTGGGGAGGGGTTTGGATTCAGAAATTTTGATTGAACCTTGTGAATGCTGAAAAGCGGGAAATAAAGCATTCTGTTCATTCATTCACTCATACAAAGTAAAGTATCATCAGGCATATCCCAGATTTCAGCTGCTAAAATTCTTTTGACTGAATTTTGGTGTGAAATATTTGCTGAAGATTCAAAATCTCCTTAAACAAAAGGGACTCACATATATGATGTGCAACAAAATTTCCTACTTATTTGAAAATGATGTAAAAGCAAATATCTTGTGCTTCCATGTTTAACACATGGTAATTGGCAATTTTACCCTAATCTGTTGCCAAAATAGGGTCAAATTGGTCAAATTGCAAGACAATCAATCACATTCAAAATACAGTATAAATACTAGAAAGCAAAAAATAGACAAAAATCAGGTCACATTGTGGTGCAAGGGTTGAATTGCAAGTCAATCTCCCTTTAAATTTGACCATAAAATTTTGGGATAGTCAAATTGCAAAAGGTCAAATTGCAGGGTACCACTAGTATGCTCATAATTATAAAAAAAAATTGGACGTTATATTGGTACTCCAGTGAATACAATAATGAACAATGAATGTTATATTTTTCATTTTGGTATGTATAATACTAGAGGATAACATAAGTCCTATCGCCTGAACTGTCAATACTGTATATTAAAGTATTTCTTTAAGTTGCCTCCCGGGAGTCGGGCAATTGTTTTCCATATATTCTCACCTCCTCATAAAAGGCGAGGCTGTCATGGAAAAACGAAAAATACCGGATGCTCAGCCAACCTCGCACGTCTCTCTCCCTCTCCCACTACTACCTTTCTTTTCAAAACCGATTTTCCGCCTCCGCCACGAAGCAGCAGCAGCAAGCAAGCAGTCGGCTGAGCCGAAACAGCCGACGTTTCCTGTTTCCCACCCACGAAAAAAAAGCGTGTTGGGGCTTTAACCGCCCTTGCGCATTGGCACGGCTGCATTGCTTTGTTTTTTCTTTATCCCACCACCATGCAGTACTTGTACGGTTTTTGGTGAAAGGTACTGAACAGCATGCGGGCGAGGGAAACGAGTCGAGCATGATGGAGCTGAGCTGAGCTCTTCGAAAGGCTGGTAGCTGCTGGTGATGGTGGCTGGTCTCACTATACATATATACGGTATATATATCCAGTACTTGAGAGCGGGGGAAACACAGCTTTGTCTTTCTTTAGTCTCGATCTCTCTCCGCCTTCCGATGGTTCCTTCCGTGCTGCTCATCGGAAGACAGGTACTGTATTTCTGTATGGAAACCGCAAAAAAGGGCAAGTTCGCGAAACCTACTGCTGTCGCCATTTTATGGACATGAGAACTATACCGTACACGAGTATATTTATAAGGCTATAGTTTTATTTCGGCGTCGACTTTCGAATAAACCCGCGTTATAACTTCATATATGTAGCTCACTCAAACTACGAGAAGGAAACCACTTGCGTTTCTTGTCTTTCTCTTTGGTAAAAAAAAGATCCTTATCTGATCTTCATCCGAGTCCCCGGGTCTTCCGATTTTTTTTTTTTTTTCGTTTTCAGAAGCATCTTCAGAATAGGCTTTGCTCTCCATCATTTCGGATGCCCAAAAAACGTTCTTTTCGGTTTGAAAACGCTGGGAATGTGGAACCGTGGGCTTATTCGAGGTAAATTTTTTTCTTTTTGTAGATGTCATGAAGACGGATGTATACTTTTATAATGCGTCTATTTTTTGCACTCGCCCCTTTTCCCCGATAATTCTAGAATGGAATCAGTGCCGTAAAAAAATTGGGTAGGAGTAATTTGATATTCATTCGTAAGCTTTTTCTTTGTCATACTAAGCTCTATGAAGAGCGGGATCGATATGCATGTTGTTCATGTATATAGAACTGACGCTTTATAGCTTTTGGGAGTCACGATCGACCAAACTGACAACTTTGGTCTGTCAAAGATATGAATGAAGTTACACAACCCATGAAGAATAATTCGTAGTATTTATTCATGACTGCGCATTTTTTCTTTGATACACAAATGCTGAAGTCGAAGACTGTGCATGAACTTGATCCTTTTTCAGTGGCAGTCAAATTGCAAATGCAGACATAGGAATGAAGTTACATAACCCAGCACAAGACGAATAATCTGTAGTATTTATCCATGAGCGCGTATATTTTTCTACGATAAACAAATGAATTCGAATACACGTACGAAATATTATGTTCCGATCGTAGTAGTCATACGGTAACAAATGATGTTGCTCAACTTCAAGTTCGAAAATGTTCGCCTTCATATAGTGATCCAAAAGCAGAGTGCCGTGATTATCGTGATACCCATTATCACCCGGAAAGAACAAAATTTTACCCGTATAGGCTTTAAAAATAATGAACTTCTCCAAGTTTGGTTCGGGGCGTTAGCAAGGCCACTTCTCGAAATGCCGAACTGCGCTGGTACCCTCACTACCTTTTTCCTGTTTTTTTTTTTTAAATATATCCTGGCTTTGCATAACTTGAGGATGATATCAGACGTAGCAGGAAGTGAGGAAGGTCTGCGGAAAAAAAAGGAGGACACTTTTAAATTTTCAGGCTGGTTATTTTCATTATATATATTTTCCACCGGCGCCATTTCTTCCGCTGCACCCTTGTCATATGAACGCAACCCACAGACGAGGAAATCTTCGCCTGGCAATCCGACCGAAACCGTGGAATTCGCCTAAACTCCAGCAGAGCATGAACTTCATTACTGCTTTTCCACATGTTTACTATACAGTTGAACCTCTGTAAGTTGTATTTCTAGGGACCATGAAAAAAATTCGACTTAGGGAGGTTTTGATTTTTGCAGGTTATAAATTAAGGAAAAAATAATTCTTGCTGTGAGGATTAGTAAACAATTGCAGGAAATTGTAAATGAGGAGATTCTGGGCATAAACTTGCCTCTTGATGAGTTTTTACTGTGCTGAACTTGGAGGCATTCGCTATATTTGTCTTTCAATTCCTTTCAAGATGCATCAAATTATTTGTTTTAATAATTTTCTTTTTCATATTTCACAGAAATAGTAATCAGAAGGCCTCAGAAAATTCGACTTACAGAGGTTTTAGAAAAAAAGAATTTGAGTAAGGGAGATTTTTAATGTATTGATTTTAAGGTAATTTGGACAGGAACTTGAAAAAATTCGACTCAGGGAGGAATTCAACTTATGAAAGTTCAACTTATCAAGGTTCACCTGTAGTAAAATCTGGTTACAACAAACTTGTGCGGACTTCAGAAAAAGTTTTTTTTAATTTATATTTTGTTATAATGAAGTTTTGAAAATTATTGACTGAGTGGAAGATTTTCTTGGAATTAGATCTGCATATATTCAAAATCTTCCTTTTGTGGCCTTTTCAGATGTTTTTCAATGGTTAAAGAAACTGTGATCTTCAAAAGGAAATGCAATTGTTAATAAATAAATAAAACAGATACTCTGAATAACAGGTAAACACAAGCACACTTACTTGACTTCAAATTTTCTACAGCAATTCATGCAAACATTTTTGAGGGTGATTTTTCCAAAATTGCTGATAGTTTATACATCACTATAGGGTTTCTCAAGCATACAAACATTTTTAACATGAGTATTGCTGAGCTCATGTTTTTTCATCTAACCACCCCCTCCCCCTCTCAGCATCATTCCAAGGATAAGAATAATTCTTGAAAGAGGGGATTTTCAGGTGAATTTTGAAGAATTTTTGTGCTTGATTTCACATTAAGTTCCAAGAACCAGTCACCAGTCACATTTTGAATGGGAAATGTGAGACTGTGCCTGCCTCCATTAGGAATTTTTCATTCAGAAATCATAGCATGTTTCTTGAAAAAGTTTGTTGTACTGGATTGGCAAGTTTGTTGTAATGAGATTTTTATAACATGTAATACCCTATAGAATTTCTGCTGGGACTTTAAAACAAGTTTTTTTTTACTTTTGTTTTTAAGTTTGTTATACTGAAAATTTTTTTGTAAAGGTATTTGTTGAAACAAGATTTTACTGTATACTGTATGTGGAATGGAGGAAAGTCTGCTGTTGCTGCAGAGGGAAGGAAGCATCCTTCTCACATCACTTCATGTTTAAAGGGCTTCTTTCTCACAGTCCCCCACACTCCTCCCTTTAATTGTTGGATTTAATACCTATGGTATGAAGTTTGCTGGGGAATGGTTTCCTGTCCAGTGGCAGCGATGGAGCATTTCTAAACTGTACTCAGGTGCATTCGGGGCGTGATGTTATGATGAGGGCACAGGATACATTCCCATTGACTTTCATTCCTTTCTCTATATATATTGTATATACTGTATACGCCGTGTTATTATTTTTCTCGCTCGTCGTTCTATACATGGGAAGCCACTTCCAAGAAGCCATAAAAGTGAAGTCGAAGCTCTTGGAATAACTGTTTTGAGGATACGGAACCAGGCCGTGAATAATGTGATGACGTCTTACATATTGGTCGTCCCCGCTGTCTGAATAAGCCGATTTGTAATATTTATTCAGATTTTTTTTGGGAAAGAATTTTAAGAATTCATATCACATACCATCATTAAGACATGCCATTCGGAACTACAGTGGCCCCCCCCCCGCCTAACAGACCTCCCATGTAAGGGATTTTTGCCAAACAGACCAGCTCTGCAAGCAGTTTTTCCTCCCGCCCAACAGACAAAACCCGCCAAACAGACTTCTTTTGGTTTGAAATTAGTGTTGAAAATTGAAATTTTTAATGTTTTATGTAATTGAATTTGTGTAAAGGACTTTTTGTCTAACAGACTCGTCCCTTGCACAAATCAAGTCCGTTAGATGGGGGTTGACTGTATATACACATTCAATATGTACTCTGCAATGATGATATTGTCTACAATAACGATTTCCTCAGTAGAACGATTTTTTTTTTAGTCCCATATATGAGATTCTCTCTCCAGTTCATACGTTATATACAGCGAAATTCTCTGCACAACGATTTTTTTTTCTGGTCCCTTGAACTTTGTAGTATAGACAGATTCCAGCATTTGTATATCCCACCAGAATAAAATAACGTACTGTATATACCGTAGTCTCTGGGTAGACAGGTATAAATGATGGTTAGATTTTTCCAGGAGTGATGAAATTCTGTTCCTTGAAATTGGAACCATTATCCTGCTAGATTTCCTGTCATAGTCCATGACTCAATTTTTTACAAATCACTGGCGGAATATTTAATAATTGCAGTGTGTGACACCCATTTTAAAGGGAAAAGTAGCAAATGCATGCAATTTTTATTAAATTTGTGTTTCCTTGGAAAATGAGTCAATCTTTGTTCTGGGTGAACCAGAAAAAAACTCCTCAAGAAGTGGTATGAAGTATTCCACAGATCACATTACCAAGTGGGTTTTGATCAGGGCCTAAATAAAAACTTCAGATGAAATCTTTCTTTAAGAAAATCTTCCAGGCCATTGAAAAAAGCTTGTGACAGGTGATTTAATTAAATTAATATTTTCAATTGAATTTCACCGGTTTATAGAGATTGATTTCTTCAAATCTGAGTTTCTCTGGCCATATGAGAATATGATTGAGCAAAATATCAAAGTTTCCCCATCAGGAAAAAATTGATCATTTAGACTATATCTAGAGCACTCCGCTTTTTGATCATTCAGTTTTAAAAAATTTACTGAAACAGAATTGTTTTGAGATAAATCTGCAGCCAAAATGATGAAGATGAAATGAAAAATATTCAAAGGGCTAAACAAATTAATTGCGGTTACTTTCATATTTGGTTGCAAGTAATTCACTCTAAAACTTCCATTTTTGGATACCATTTTTGTTTGGAAATTGAGGAAAGGCCAAAAAATATATTGAGGCAACAAAGTTTTAGAATGAATTCAATGCTTTTACACTCAATGTTTACATGAGCCCACGCATACAGAATAATTACAGGCATGCTTCTATTATTGAAGAGTGTCAAGATGTAGACATAGAAAAAGAAAATACA